CGGAATGAGACTTCACTACAGTTTGTTTTACCTTGGTTTTATCCGCGTATCGTGCAGCCATCATAACTTGCGCATAAAGTCTTAGGAGGTGCGTGAAAATTGCCACGCCTTTTGAATGATTGTTCTTCCTCTAACTCAAAACGCGTGGCCCGTCGGATCACCGTCCGTTTTTCACCGATATATACATTTTAAAATATTTGCCGTAGCAAGAGAGGTCCACCTGTGAAAAAAATAAGTGTAAATTGTGTAAAAAAAACAACAACAACAAACATTGGGCCTATTAATAACGTTCAGTCATCATGAAAAAGTGTACCAAATTACCGATTGATAATTACTCAGGAACTGGCAGAAAGGAAGTGACCTTGAAACAAATTTTAAAAATCTGATACACCAATAAAGTATGTCTTAAAGGAGCATGTACATGTATTTGCCCTCGTGTGAAAAGAAAATTACTGAATGATCCATGCCAACAGAAGTTATACATGTTTTTTAAAAGGGCAATTTTTATTGCTGCAGCTATATTCATCAATGGAATGCCATTGCAAGCTATTGGGCTGAGTGAGAATTACAGATTACACACAGGCATTCAAATACAATAGAGATTGCATTCGTTTGGATCAGGATTGAAGAATTAATTTTAATGTCAGAGTTTGCGTTTTGAATATGAGAACAAGTCAACTCTTTTTTTCCCCTGAAAAAATTGAAGACAATTCAAGTTGTATTTCAAGTTTCATTCATTCATAGAAGTGGGAAAACGTCCATGTTTCGTTGTATAGAATAGATATTAATTCATCAGTTGGTAGAACGGTAAATAATCAGGGGTGGACAGCTGACGTTTGTGATCTTTTGTTTATGAAAATAGACGTAACTTGGGGAAAGAGTATGCAAATAACGCGGATTTTTTTAGTTACTGGTCAATGACATATACTTTATTCCTTTTTTTTTTAATGAAATGGAGCGAGTCACATCTTTTTTTGTTTACATTTTCTGCTTCGGTTATCCATGTCTAAAGAGTAAGACGGATATTTTTACGAAATTTTTCGGATGATATATAAACGATTTTAAGCTTTTCATACATGAGATAGTTTTGTGATTGTGTTTTGTTTATATAGACACATTGTCCAATTACTAGTTGTATACATTGATCTTGTGTATTTGTATTAAGCACTGGGGGCAAATTACCATCAATATGAAGTTTATGTTATGTTAAATATAATGTTCTTACGTGTTATAATGTGTGGCTGCACGGGTTGGGAAAACTACTGTTTGCTGGATATGTGATATTTGCACCGAAATTAAAAAGTTGTTTTGATAATTGTGAACTGCCGGTGAACATAAAAACCGAAATGAATTGTAACTGTAATAATAATTTTCAGATGTTTTGGGGCAGCAAGAAAAATTTATTTGGCGTATTCATACATAAAGTGCCCAGTAATTAACGGTGAAACTAGGATCAGATCTCGCTTTGTTTTAATTGTTCAATTGTTACAAAAGTTATAATTTGACTAGTGTCTATACCAAATTACTTCATGTGTGACAGAAATGCTTAGTGAACGAACAACAAAATGTAATTTGCATTACTGAGAGACAAAATGTCATGTATCTGTATTGAAGCTGCTTTAGTAATCGATAGCTTATATTACAACGTTCGTGCTGTATGCCGACAAGTTGGAGGTTGGTATGAATTCAGTTGCACAATATGAAAATTTATTTGTTAGGTATACGATATATTTAAGCTTTACTGATTGTATACAAAAAAAAAATTTCAGTGGTGTGCCCAAAGATATAATTTTGCTGTCTTGACGAATCGCGCGGGAATACAGAGAAAATCAAAGAAATTACATGAATACTTAATTTAGACATCTGATAAAATGTTCTGTACCACAGCTTGAAAACGTCTGAACAGATATTGTTTTGCTCACTGATGTTTAAACGAATTGCGTAACTATGCCAAGGAATAGTGACTTCAACTTTTGAACAGATAATTGTTGACAAAAATACAAAAGAAAAGAAATTGAAATAAAGAAACTTTTTTCCGTGTCATTTTTTTTTACAGCTGCCGAGGTCATTCTTTGTACAGTGAATTAGAAATCTATATGTACAAGTCTTTTGTTTGTAACAACATATATTTTGAGGGTGAACTCCACACCGATCCCCCCGATCCCCCCCCCCCCCCCCCCCCACACACACACACCACACCCACACACACTTCTCACCCGCCCACTTTTCCGGAATAGTTGCTGCAGTAAAACGGAACGCTGTTTTCTTTCTGGCAGCAAAATGTCCAGAAATGTTTTTTCATTCCCTAAAATAAACAGACCCTTAAAATGACATTGGACATGTGTACACGGTTGTGGGTGAAATAACAATACACTGTATGTACCTAGGTGCTTGGGCCGATTTAGTTGATTGTAATCACGCTAATTAGCATAATTCATTTTTGCATTTACGGAAAGATCCATATAATTACGCCGAAAATACGGAATATTTCACTTTACGGAGTCCGTAAATTTACGGGCATTTTTAATAGTGTACATTTTATACGGAAATCAGGCCTTACAGCGAAACCTTTAAAACTTATCGACCTAAACCTTAAAAAAAAAGAGGCTATATTTGAACTGGGGAGCCTTCTTTTTAAATAACCTATAATCCTATAAAAATCGGTATTTTTATTTTGTCATCAATTTGTAACAATTTTTTAGAGAAAATCGTATAAAAATCAATTTGACCCACCGTTTATTTATTGTAAATATAGTTCTCTAAGATCTGTTTTACAAATGTTTCTGATTTGGGCAAGTGTTTCAGATTTGGGCAAGTGTTCTAGATTTGGGCTAGCCTTGACCAAGGCTATCAGCTTGTTCCCATACGAACTTGTTCCCGCTACCGCACACCGCGCGCAATCACTAGTCTGTTGTACTATACCGTTACCCTCAACGACCCTTGCGTGTGCTTTGTGTGCATGTACGTACGCCCCCACACACTTCCGCAAACAGCCGTACGGACAGCAAGTCTGCCTCGACTTTACTGTACGGCTGTTTGCGGAAGTGAGTGTGGGGCGTACGTACATGCACACAAAGCACACGCAAGGGTCGTTGGGGCTAACGGTATAGCACAACATTGTGTTGCTGCGCGCGCGGTGTGCGGTAGCGGGAACAAGCTCATATGGGGAACAAGCTGATAGCCTTGGTCAAGGCTAGATTTGGGCAAGTGTTTCAGATTTGGGCAAGTGTTTCAGATTTGCGTGAAATTAATTTTCGGTCACTTTATGAGGGGCACTGTGAGGCTTGGAGAATTCTTTTCATGTTCACATCTCTTAATCAACTTACGGGAGTAAAAGCATACACAAAGACCCTAATCTCCTCTTTTTCACTTGGTTTAGCATTTTACAAATTTCTGTTCAGAGGCCTCCGATGACTGATTCCAAACACTGAACTGACAAAAGAAATGCTTACATGTTATGATTTCTTTTTTATTTACAGCTACACCCACATTGTAACACTTAACATGTTTTAAAAATGATTTTACAGTGTTTTGAAGTTCTTAAAAAAAATGCTGCAATTTGCTTTAAAAATAAAAGTAGTCTCCTAGTTTGTCGGCGCAGATTCATTGGTAGACACTGTTTTCACAGCAGCCATCTCGGAGGTGTGTGAGCGTTTGTTCAACAGGGATACGTGTTAGTAGACCTATGTGCACTCACTGTTACTTTAATGACAACAGAACATGTCTCAAACATGGCAGCTGATTGCAATGGGCCTTTCTCGAGTCGGCCATATTGGATTGAGAGTGTGGTAAACTCTTCATTTTTGGAACTTATGTAGAGAAATGAAAGCAATGAAGTTACAAATTAAAACAGTCTGCTCTGATTTAATATTTGTGATTAAACATACTCTAATGTTTTAAGCCACATTTAAAAAAAAAATTGAAAGCGAGGCTATAGTGAATAAATAGCCTAGCACCATCCCATTCAACAATAAAAGATTTATGAAATACATTCAGGGAACATGACAAAAAAAGCCAACCTGTGCATAAGGCCCATTGATCTATGATCTCTTCTTTTTTTGAAGACTGACAGGCCGGTATATATTGTAGCTGCAAATCTGGAGTACTGGAGACACACTTAACACTGGCCACTGCAATCTTCACAGATTACAGGCCACATTATTCCAACTCTGGGTGGCTTCTAGTGAAACCAGCACAGAAATAATGTCCTGAATTCAGGCTATGCAGATACGCGGTGGCTGGTATATCCTACAGTACCAATGCAATTCACTGCCTCCGGAAAAAAACTGGCCGTTCTTACTCCCCATACATATTTTATAAACAAAACGCACGACATACACAATGTACAGAGACGTACGGTCAGGGAGTTAGTAAAAGTTGCTATCCCGGTAGACCTGCTTAGTCAATGTATCAAACTGGGCCAAATTTCAAGGTTCTGCTGACCAAAGAATTTAACACTTACAATAAATTAGGTTACGGGATGAATGCATGCTGTAAGCCAAAAGTTCGCACTAACCAGTGAAATATGCTAACAGTAAGCATGACATTTTTTTGCCCTACGTAGTAACAGGTACTTTTCTCTAACAGTAAACAGAGCCGTGAAATTGGGCCCTACCCGGGCCCTACCCAAGCAACAGCTTCAATCGCAACAGATGTCACCAGTGGTACACAATCGTAGTGACAGGAAACGATTATATGCATTATGAGAAAAGATTTCATAAGGAGTTTTCCTACTTTTGTCAACTGAACTTAATTGAGGTGAAATAATACAAATACAACATGGTTACTTTAGGAGAAGAAGTGCAAAATTGCTGGTCCCTCTATGTTGGCTGATGTGACTAACTCCCTCTGCTTCGTGTCGGGATGGAGGTAGTCGAATCAGCCCAGAATCGCCGGCCAGTGCTCTGCAAATTTGCGATGATCAGTATCCTAGCTGTGCTAACAAGCAGGCAGTTCTGCTTGTAGACACACATCACAGACCACTACCCATCTGCATAAGCTTATTCTAGCAAGTGTTGTGCCTGTGGACAGTTATTATTGGCCACTTACAATCTGCATAGGCTTAAGGACGCATGCCTCATGCCACATAAAAAAATTGTATAAATTTGTTTAAAAGATGAAAAAAAAAAACCTTACTCCAATTTTGGGCGTCTGCAACCCTCCATAAAAGGAATGTCATGTTTGCTGCAAGCATTAAATTACAGTCTGGCAGTCAAAAATTCGATTTTTGTGAAGATATAATTTAATAACTAAACGTCGGTGGATTTTTCATTTAATGTCTCATTCCAAAGTGAATATCTTTAAAATTTAGGGGGAAATAGCAGTTTAAAAAAAACGATGACAATGTTTTTTGAGATGAAGCTGGAAAATACCACGGAGAACTCATATTTAAAAACTGGCTAGTACTCTGTCATTGGAGATTAGCAGCAGCTGGCACTGTACCTGCTCAGACCAACAGGCTACGTGTGCACATGGAGACTACGCTAACTGGCCAGTTATTCTATCCATGTGGACTTATTGGCTAGTATATTCTGATGGTGCAAAGCTGCAGGCGTGATTTCCGTCCGTGCAGACGTACTGGCTTTTACCCTACCTTTGCATTATGTGGTACCCATATCTCAAAAGTTAGTCTGATCCTTTGATGAACTCTCCCGTACGAAACTGTCCAGGTCTGGCATGCCGTACGGATCCACCAGCATGTTGCTGGAACCCCACTGTTTCTGCTCTTGGGACGACGCCTTACTATCACCTTGCCAACTCCTCCCTGTTCCACCTCCTAGTGAGGCATTGCTAGCACCCCAGATTTTATCCATGGTGCTTCTGTCGTACCCCCCGCCAAAACTGCCCTGCATTGCAGAATAACTGGTCTGGGATGTGTGGGCATTACCAAACGAGGTGTTGGGACGGTTGTCGGACTGCATCCCCCAACCCCGTCCCCGCCCCCTCCCCGTCCCCCTGCCCCTGCCCCTGCCAGGTCTCACGCTGTTGTTGTTGAAGGTGCCTCTCTGATTGAAGGTGCTTCTCTGATTGAAGGAGTCGCTGCTGCTTTTCCATTTTCCCCCGCCCCAGGCTGGCTTGGTAGCGGTGTTGTTCTTTGGATTATTGGCCATGCCCTGTGAGATAAACGAAAACAAAGGTCCTCTGATTACACCACCTGTTTCAAAAGTGTTACAGCAACCATACTTGCAGGATTTTTCAAAAATAGATACCGGTGACATCTGAGAAAATTCAATAACTAAAAAAGTGCACTTAGTTTCTTACCCCAAAGATTTGATTAACTCTAACCTTCCCAACTCCATCAATATCCCCCTCCCGATTCTGGGGGATATTGGCAGATAAGCCATATGTAACAAGTCCATTGAAATCCACCAGCGCCAGTGGTAGATTTCAACAGATTTGGTTATGAAGCATTATGTGAAGCAGAATCGGTGCTTCTGATTTGAGGCGTGTGATCGCATGACATCGCGCGTGCCTAAAAGCTCCCCGAGAAGTGTGAATAATTGCACGCCTGAATTTTCTGGACCACAGAATCACACACCTAGAAAATCACACACTCACAATATAACTAAGTATGGAGTTTAAAGCTTTTTATGACAAAATAAATGACTTGTAAATAAATTGTCTCAGCACAAAGAATATTCAATAGCTGATGTTTTTTCAGGGTCTGGTTTATAAAGCACTTTATATCAGTCTTTCAACCGAAGGATTGAATTTTCATGTTTTTTGGGAAACAACAGAGAAACATTTAGTTTGATTGGAAACAAGCGGCCCATGACGAAGCACATGGACAGGATTGTGAAGTAAAGACTTTTCGAAACTTTGTCTACATTGTAAGATTCTGCAGTTCAAACTTATCAAACTCTAGTGACACATGAAGCCTCAGGCATTCATGTAAAAATTAAACTCCCAGAGATAAACAGAAATAAACATGTTTTTTTTTTGGCATGAAGTCTTTCCAGTGTACTCCACAAAGGCAAGTTTTCAACATTTGACTGATCACATTGAAAACACAATAATAATAGTGGTGTGCATTTACGGGTAGTACGGGAACCAGGTAACCCGTTAAAGTAAAAATCGGGTACCTGGTTACAGGTAAAAGAAACCCAGCCTCAAAATTCAAATCCTGGAAGTTGTCTGAAGGGCTTAATAGCTTTACAGTGTAAATTGCAAATTCATGAGCATTATCTGTCGCATGTTAAAATACACATAAAAATGAAGTTTGTTTTGGTTTTCCATGCATGTAGCCTAGTTTTCATTTTGAAAATTTTTCAAAAAAGGCATTCAGAACTGTTTTCATCGTCTGAGAAGTTAATAAGTAACTTGTAAAGTTGGTTACATGTACTCCATCCCATAATCTTGAACCGGTTGCTAACATTATTGGTCTGGCTTGGTTCTGATGCTCACCCCGACACAATATTTATCGATCCTTCATGTAAACATGAAGTTTGTTTTGGTTTTCCATGCATGCAACCTACTTTTTATTTTGAAAATTTCCCACAAAAGGCATTCACAACCATTTTTATTGTCTGAGAAGTTACTAAGTAACTTGTAAAGTTGGTCATCTCATAATCTGGATTCAGTTCCTGCATCAGCGGTCGAGTCAACCATGTCAACTCGGCTCCGATGCACATGCCTACACAATAATCGCTCCTTGATCTGCTTACCTGTGCTCCACGTCTGTTGGGGTACGGATGATCCCGATACTTGTCCTTTCCAGGTCGATTCAGTAGTTTATTGTTGTGTTTGGCACTTGAACAATGCTGTTGGTGCCAAAAAATATAAACTTCGAGGTAATATGCAACATTTGTGCTTTTGCTGTAATTTTCTGACAGACTCTGAGGTTAATAATTTAAAGCACATATTGTAACAAGGACCTGTTCAAAGTTTTGCGCTCATAGATGCTGGAAAAACCAAGAATAAAATGCTGTTCTTGTAGTCTGCCTCCCTAACCCCACTTCAGACAAAATGGATTAATTTATAAAAGTCTGGGAATTGTCAGATCAAGGAACCAGACTAGCTTGCTTTACACAACACACGAGACCTACGGCTTTACGTCCCATCCGAAAGGACGAAGCAATAATTGTTAGGTGCATTGCTCAAGGGCACAAGTGTCCACCCAGCGGGCTCAAACCCACGCCACTGTTGCCTCTGAAACACCAGAGCATGAGTCAGGTGCTCTTACATGTAAGTGCTAAGCCATGGTACTCCACGTTCTGTTATTCCACTCATTTCCTTCAATACCCTGAGGCCCATTGTTGCCATTGTGTTCATAGCAAAAGGACTGTTCTGAACATTGTGTTGGTAGTGTTTTTGGGTTGTCACAAAGAAAGGACTGGATCCTTTGCATGCATGGATGAATATCAGTGAAATCTGTACTGAATGTGGTCAATACCCAGATCGAATGTCTGCTGAAGAGAAAAAAACATGACAAGGAATTATCCAAAGCGACATCTTTTTTGACTCATGCTGTATAACCATGATTTGGCCAACCAGGCCAAAGAATTCCCTAGCGGTGTGTCAAAAAAAAATGCATATTGTGGCTTAGGTTTGCAAGCACCTGGAGATACTGCTGCTCCGAGTTAGCCGTTACGTTACAGGTGGGACATGCATACACAGCGCTGGCAGGTGTCGCGGCCTCACTGGATGCAGGTTGGGCCCCTAGACGGTTACTGGTCGCCTGCTTAGCTGCATCCATTACATTCTTGTGTTTACTCCCTAGAAAAAGAGTATGGATAAAATAAGGCCAAGTTAAAAAAAACGAGGAAACTCAAAATCACACAAGACTTTGTACAGTGTTTTTCAATTTGTAATGGCATTCATGAGAAGTAAAAAATGAGGAAATCAGCGGATCCGAGGAAAATTGCATGCCTGACATATGCAATATATTATGCACATATGAATATACCATTTTCTCTTGGGACCGTTGACATGGCTGGTGTTGGAATCACTATCTCTATTATACTGACTGGACAGCGCTTCGACCATATGCGTGTGCACAAGACCGTGACGCCCTCGCACGCACAAGCTGGCCATTTTAAAGCTCCCTCAAAAGCCCCACAACGCACGGATCCGTATATAAAAAGCACAGAATGACAATTTAAGAAGCACTTTTGGATCATCAAACACGTTTTTATTTATTCATTTTGCCCACAGTGTTATTTTACTCATGTTAATATTGGTTCAAATATATAATTTTATTTCGTGACTTTGAATATATTTTTACGTGGCCAAAGGGAGTGTCAAAATGGCGACCAGTGACTTCAGCCCACTGATCTCTATATAAAGACTGGATAGCTAATAAAGAGCCGCACAATGAATGAATTTGACGCCGTATTGGTGAGACCGGCTGGTGATCTACAAAGGACAAGTTGCCGTTTTTATAGACAGCATGATTTCTTTTGTAACGTCGCGGTTCACTTGACTTATATTTTGACCACTACCACTGACCAAGGTTAACTGCAATTTTTCTAACGTCGTGGTTACTAAAATGCCGCAAATATCACTTTTTCAGCGTTTTGAAATAATAATCACTACGGAAACGTGTCCCTTTTAGAACATCATAATGTGTGTACGTGACCAAAATGCACGTCAACTGTTGATACAACGTGCGCGTATTTACGCGTAGAACGTTCGTATTATACGCGGCCATCTTCGTGAGACCAGGGGCGAATTGGTCAATATGCAAAGTCTACTGTGTGAATGTTGTATGCATATCCGCTATCCAGTCTTTATATAGAGATCAGTGCTTCAGCCCCACGACCCGAAGCACTATCCAGTCAGAATATTAGAGATCAGTGGTTGGAGTGTACATGTACCTTGGAAGTGCTGGTCCAGCTGTGACTGAGCGGTGCAAACGACATCACAATACTTGCAGTAGAAACCTGCCGACACTGAGGAAGTGTTCGCAGGTTCTGAAAATAACATCAGGAATAAATTGAAAATGGAATTAGACGGATAACATTTTGTTACAGACTGGGGTTCCAAAAATGAATTTTTGTTCCATATTTGGGTAAAGTGACTTGCCCAAGAACACAAACACTATGTTCCCTGTCAGGGTTTGAGCCCACACACCAAGTGGTCTAGCGGTAGAGCGCAGGATTCAATATCGTGAGGATCCGGGTTCAAGCCCCGCCATGGCCGTGCGAGTTGTGCCCTTGAGTAAGGCGCTTTACCTCAATTACTCCTCTCAACCCAGGTTTTAAATGGGTACCGGCATTACTCAATGCTGGGAAGGTAACAGACTCGCTGTGGAGGAGGTGTGGCGATCCCCCCGCAGCAGCATATGAGTCTGGCCCAACACCTTATGAAAGAGAGATGGGCACTTCGTTCCTGTGAACACAGGTTCGTCCCCTTTTTACTCACCCTGGCACACCGTAACCCCCAAACACCATAACCACTGGACCTCAGCGCTCCACTGTGACCAAGTCATTTGCTTTGTCATTTTTATCCTGGTACTTGTGACCTTACATGTACACGATGTACGAATGACTAGCAATTGACCAATTGCCTTTTACGAGTTAGCCACGCCCCTTAGACAACCCTACGGAATTTTGTAGGTTGAGTTTTGTTTGTCTCAGATTTTGCGCGTTCCGCGTCCATTTGTAATTGGACAATATTTCACAAGCTGCGTTGAAGCGATTCTACCGCGATAGGTTAATTGGACTATATGTATGTTGTCTGTCATCACTTGCCTTCTTTCACCTCCTCCAGCTTTTGCTTCTGGGCCAGCTGCCTGAGTTTCTTGGCATGCCGGGCCCCTGTCAGGTGCATCTGCACCTGTTCTGCACCTGTGAAGGTCAGCCCGCAGACACTGCAGTGTGGTAGATACGTGTGAGGCTTCTCCTCCGCAGGTGGACTCGCTACAGTGTTTTCTGGTTGGCCAGGTTGGCTGACTGGCATCATCATGTCAGATGCCGTTGATGCTAAATTGAATAAAAAGTAAACAATCGTCCTCTTGTAATCATGTAAGAATCTTGGACTGACATTCCATCTCCCTTTGTAAGTGCAAACAGATACGTATCGTCCATTCCAACTTTACAAGAGCAATTAATGATGTTGATGAGGTGTGAATTTTTTCACACTGAAAGTGACCATCTCCATCAATATGGTTAGGTACATTGTACCTTTTTGGGTTTTCTGGGGGGGGGGGGGGGGGGGGGGCTCAATTACATGTACATGTACATGTATGCATTTCAACTAGTGGTTACACGCAAGTCTGTTTAGTTACTTTGTACACATGAAATATATTGAACTACAAACAATTGAAGATTTCAAATTTTCAAAATCCTCCTATCGGTACTTGTAGCTTACATGTGGCACTATGAAAAGAGAAAATGCTTGAGGTAATGGGGGGGGGGGGGAGTTGTAGAAGTCTCCCATCAAGATCAGTTCTCAGAAACACAATGACCGAGTCTGAATGAAAATTTGGCAAGCTTGGTGTATATGCTTGGTGTATATGAATGGTTCTAGTTTAGCCTTGTCATTACGGTCAAAAGTTTTCCCACTTCCATCTGTGAATGAAGCCATCTTGCGATATTCGATACCCTATTACTGATTTTTATGCAATGAGGGTCAAAATGTTCCCCAAGACATCAGCCTACAAACCCACAAATAGTCGGAACAAAAAGAAAATTGCACTAAATAGGCCTACCAGCAAATATGAAGACAGAAGACAGAACCTCCCCCCCCCCCCCTCTCTCTTTTGGATTAAAATCAAAGTTAAGGTTTTTACCTAACGATTCAGTCAAGGCCTTCTGTCGGAGTTTCTTTTGGTGTAGTTTCCCGGAGTAGTGCATGTCGGCTTGAACCTTGGAGTTCAGGTACACATTGCACAAGCTGCATATCTTGTACTCTCCCAAAGTCTGTGCTTGTTTCTCGGGGCCTTCCAGCTTGCCGGTATCTGTGTTTCCCGACTGGGCGGTTTTGGGGAGGTCTTCCGCCCCTCCATTGTCCCTTACCTCCGGGACGATGCTTGGTTCGGGCAAGGTAAAATCAGGTAGAGATGGCATAGCCACAGATCTCGCATCTGTCTTTGTTTCGAGGAGGGTAAGGCCGGGAAGCGAAATGTCTGAAAGTTCGGACGTTTCCATAGCTCGATATCTGTGTGCAGCAGATGACTACAATCCTGTAGGTAAGATCTTGCGAGAAGAAAAAATGATTTAAATTTAAAGAAATGAGAATTGATGTTGTACAAAACGTCAATTTTGTTGAAGATAATCTTGAAGACAATTAAAGTGAGGGAATCAGCTGTTCCAAAATCCATTATCCATCCAGCACCAACAAGGACACGTAGATCCACAACTGGCAGCATAGTACCAGCTGATCTGAATCAACCGTATGGGAGAACAGATGCAAGCATGTAAGGACTGGAACAAGTTATTACCAGACTCTGTTGTTACATTGTCAACTATCAAGGTCTTCAAAGACAGAGTCATAGACTTCATCAGACAAAGGGACCACAAATTACTTAAAAATACATTTACCGGTACATGTACCGTATCTAATGACCACTCTGATCTCCCCCGAGGCTTCGTTAGGGATTCTACCGGATCTGTTGCCATGTATTGGATCAAGATCAACTGCCAGATTAACCAAATTAGGTAACCACATAAAGCTGGTCTTTTGAGCACTTTGAAACTCGAAATCAGTGAAACTACATTCGAGCTTGAACGTTCTTCCTAGCCCCGCAATGTACATGTACATAGCCCTAGCCCCCTCATGTACAATTTTGTATGTTGGTTGTTGTTGGTCGTGAGTAGTTATGATAAACGTTGGTATCTAAGGGGCTTTGCTTACGCGGAGCCCCAGAGTTCTAGTAGAGACTGCACACGATTTCTTTTAAAGTTTTAAAAGCCACTTTTTGTGTCAAGTGAGAGAAGACACCACAGCTGTTTGAATTTTCAAAATCCGATAAGGGATTACTGAAGCATGACCTTTAAAAAGTTATTCTGTAATTTTATATTTTGCTCACTTCTCTATTGCCGCCGTGGAACAACTTTGCATATACACATGTATCTGCCTTGTACACATACTACAGGTAGGTTTACTAAACGGAACAGCCTAAGCAATCCTATTGGATGTCATACACCAACATGACCAATCACGAAAAGGAGGAACTATCACATTTGACTTTGCCATCTACCGTACTGTACCCATTTGCAAGCCAAAACCTATCACTATTTTTTCCCACATTTCTTTTTAAGTGGGCCAAAAACGAGGCCTGATTTATCAGAAACGAAATAAAGTTCGTAATCAACATAAATTCGAAAAGCGATCGCGCTGTGTATTTAGAAAAAAAGTTGTTCACTGTTGCACGACAGCTGTGCAAATCAATGTCTGCCTGTTTGTGTACGGTCCTTAGTTCTTTTCTAGGGGAAATGTTAAACAGCGCCCTCTCTACACTGCCTCTGCAGTTTCGTTCTCAAAAAGTCAAATCAATCCCAAAATTAAGATCCCATTCTGACAAAACTCAACTAATTTTCCCGCAAATATAAAAACATCTGACCAGCAGAGATCTCTGCCTCATTAAATTAGCATGATTTGAAGCTTCAAAGTCAGAGAAAAAATTAATTGTTACAAAAATACAACCTCCGAGTCCGATATTGGCCGAGATCTGCAACCTGCTCCTCGCGCATTTCGTAGTACGTAAATTCGACTACTTTTTAGTCGAGGTCGTCAGATGCAGATCGATTACAGTATCGATACTTTCTATGCCTTCATCGATGTTCTCCGCTGCTCTGCACTAGAAATCGAGCTAGTTGACAGAATCGGTAAGAAGGAATCGAAAAACGCTCTGTCTAGTCTAGTACCCACACTCCGCGCACGTTATTTTCCTACATTACTAGTACAGTCAGTACACGACATTTATTCTGCCGAAGCTTCCGAGTGAAGTTAGTTACAAATGATTTGGCAAGCAGCCGCCACAGTCCTACACTTTCGCACTTAAAAAGTAAAAGAGATAAAACAAAAAATTACAATGGAAAATAACTTAGAACGTTTGCTTGACGAGACGTAAGTTGTATTGTAACTTACTTATTTCTTGATTTGACCACAAGGCTTTGAAGTTTGATATCGCTTGAGGGCGCTGTTCACTGGTTCATCCCCTACTCATTTTCTGAATAGGAAATTGTGTCTTAAATTCAAATATCACTGTCACTTGTCAGAATTTGCGTCATCACGATTGCCCTCATGAATAAAGACTCTCACCCTCTCCATTCTTTTGGCTTTAAAATTATATCAGTCACTTACTTCATTGAGATACGGGGATAATGTATATATGAACTGCGGACACTTGCTTGTAAGACAAGAGACTTTTACCACTAGACCACCCGCACGATCGCATTATAATGATAGATCTTTGGACGTACGTGTACATGTATTTGAAAAATTGATAAACTAACTAGGGCCTATTCATGAAAAAAATAAATATTCATATTGAATCATAATGACGTATTTCCCTATCATTGGCTGGCTAATGTGTTGTCATGGTTGTAAATGTCATGTTTATAACGTACCGCTGTCTTCCAGACACTTCAATCAATTTGACCAGCTGCCTCCAACTCCAAGTCCAACTTAATCCTGCACGACGTGTGCATCCAAAATGTGCTCTAAAAACACATTTTTCCTAAAAGATAAATCGCATTTGCAAGGCTTCCTGGATTCATCTTGGGTGAAATCACATTTATTATCAACAAACTTCTTTCTTTTTTTTTTACAGCTTAAACAATCCGGGTGTTGTTGGTGTCTTGTGTGCGGATAAACAGGGACTATGTCTGGGAGGTAAATATAATGTGCCAATTATATGGATAATTTGATTGGCAGCAAAATCTTTGCAGACTCTTTGCTTACAGTGGCCATCTTCGAGGTTTTTGTTTAGATTAATAAGATTAAAAACCAGCCACCAACAGTATATGTCCCTGCACCTCGCAAAGGGTCTATTGTAGGGGTGTGCATTTACGGGTAGCACAGGAACCGGGTACCCGATTGAAAAAAACATGGGTACCCGGGTACCTGTTAATTGACCCAATGCCAAACATACCAAGATTCAAATCTTGGAAGTTGCTCTGGAGATAATTTACAAAGGTCCGCATGATAATACTTCCGCATCGGCGCATCAATACAACAAGATATAAGTACAGTGAGCTCTATTTGCTTTACTGTGTAAATTGCAGCTTTCAGGAGCGTCATAAATGTGAAAAAATGTTTTGTTTTCCAAGGTGGCCTGGTTTTCATTTTGAAAATTCCCCACAAATGACATTCAAAACCTTTCATTTTCATTGACTGAGAAGTAACTAAGTAATGTGTAAAGTTGGTTACAGCAGTCCTTCCGATTTGAAAATCACAGGCGTGTGGAAAAAGGCACACCTGGATTTTTCTAGGTGTGTGGTTTTTCTAGGTGTGTGATTTTCTAGGTGTGTGATTCTGTGGTCCAGGGAAATTCAGGCGTGCAATTATTAACACTTCTCAGGCAGATTTTAGATGTGCGATGGCGTGGGAGTGCGATCGCACGCCTCAAATCAGAAGGACTGTTACAGGTACCCGATCCCATAATCCAGAACCAGTTCCTGACATTAACGGTCGGTTACTCGGGTACCTGGTTCTGATGCACAGCCCTAGTCTATTGCCACAACCTACATACTTTTGTTCACATCTGTATTATTAAACTACAGAATCCACCATTATTTTCTTTGTTTGTATTCACTCCCCCCCCCCTCCCTCCACCATGCTCAGTTAAAGGCACTGCCACACCCGAGTCATCAGGGATAGTGGTTGCTCTATCTCAGCAGGCTGCGCTACTCAAACCAGCGGCGAGCACTGCGCCCGTCATTTGCCTGGAATCAGACAAAGGGTAAGGGCCTCTAACTTTCCCAACCACCCAGATATATCTTAACATCCATTACTTAAATGTATTGAATTATTCAGTATAAAGGTAGTGTGTGGCATATATGCACAGGTCATTATTTTAGGCAAAGAATTTGCCACCGATTAAAGATGCACTGCCTGTGCTCATTTTTTTTCCTATCAAACTGTAAACTTTTGTTTTATCTTAATTTGACCCTTTCCTCCCTAGAGGGTCTGTGAAAATGATAAATCATGTCAAAATTGGAGGAATTGTTGGGTTTTTTTTTGGCATTTGCGACCCTGCCAGAACTTAATTATATTCCGCCAATCAAAATAAAATCATGATTAATTTGTAAAGTAAGAATTTCATAACTAAATGTTGGCTGATGTTTTGGGGGGTCAATGTCTTACTCAAAAATGAATATAACTTACTTAAGTATTGCTTGCAAAATAGGAATGAAAAAAAATTGTTTATCAGGACGAAACTTCAAAACAGCATATCTTTTACTACACAATGTCAGATTTTGAAGGATGGAGCATGTTAGCAAAAGATCTTAGAGTTGTTCATATTGATTGTAAGTTTGAACAGTCATCTTACCGTTTAACATGTTTAATTATCCACAAATCCTGGCAACAAGTAAGACAGATCTGTATGTCGAAGATTGTTTTGTTTCGTTCCCCAGAAATGTCCTAGTGAAGTCCCATGAAGACACAACTCTCGTAATCCACAAAATGCCAGTCTATTGAAGCATTTCTGATCACGGTGACCAAGAGATGGGTTAATCTGATGGGCGGAGTCAGGATCACCAGAAGGAAGGGGGCTACTGCATGTACATGTATGACAACACCCTAGCAGAAAAAAATGCTTTAAAGGCTATAGGATCATTTGCATTTAGCCCAAAAGTAACCTGCCAATTTATTATCAACAAGCTTTAATTATTACTTTGATTTAACATAATACTGGTACTAAACACCCAATGAGATTATTCCACCTGGCTTGCCGTCATTCAGAAGAAGTCAGAAAGTGTAGGTGATTTCCAACAATCAGTCAATTACAGAGATATAGAAACAAAATTGCATTTAGTGATCAAAAAGCTGTGCACGGTTTTCACCATTTTCTTAAAAAGTGTAAAGCATGTAACATCCACAGACCTGAAACTTCATTCTTTAGATTTTGAGTGGTATTATTGGAATGAACAACATGCATGAAAGGCAATGATCCTATATGCCTTAAACGAGATTGATAGTTATGAAATAAGCCCTCATCCTGACAAAGATAATTTGACAATAAGAATATAATGTTGCTAGGATAATAACTCTTTGAGTACATAAATTGTCTTATTTAGATAGAATTTGGCTTGCCATCTCATACAGGCACAATATAAATCTAATATACCCAAGGGCGGATCCAGAACACAATTTTTTTGGGGGGGGGGGGAGGGGCAAAAAAAATTTGGTCCCCCAAAAAGTGGGTCTAAAAAATTACGGCGTGGTGTTCGGGCCCCGAAAATTGTTTGGATTCTAGATGCTCTGTGGTGTGATCTGAGGCAATTTCTGACCACTTTGACCAATTTTTTTTTGAGGAAAAGATGGTGGTGTATGCAGTGCCTGCCTTTATTGCGACGTCACTTAAACAACAAATTGGGTTCGTTTGTTTTTTGGGAGGGGGGCATGGTTCCTGTTGGGCTCCCACCCCCCTGGATCCGCCCTTGAATGTACCAGCTTGCCATACACGGACTCAAATTCAGTCCATTTAACTTTTTATTTCCTAAAATGGAGAGTTTTCATGTTGTGCCCCTTTTCTCCCATCTTCTATCAACTATGCTACATGCATACTTGTATATATTTTTGTATAGATACACAATGCATAGCACATGTAAAATATTGATTATTTTCAATTTTTCTCAAGGATAAAATATATTGTTTCGCTCCAGCTACATGTACAAATGTATAGCATTGGTCCTAACTCAAGTTTGGACCATGTTGCAGTCTTTTACATTGCAGTACATACATGTAGTAATTATTAGTGGCTGTCATTACAAATGTTGTGACATTTTGGGTATACATGTACATGTCTTTAAAAGAAAATATGTACCTGATGACAAGAATTAAACAGTTAAGATTTTTCACAAACACTCAGAGTTTATTATTCCATGAAGATTTGTTTGTTTGCATTTGTTTTCTGTAAATATGTAGAATGCATCCCGAATAGTTTAATGCATAGTCAGATAGAAAATGAACTTTTATTTTTTTTTTTCAATCCAACTTCTTGACTACTGTTTTTCATACTTCGAGTATTATCAGTATGCTGGTCACTGTTAAATTAAACTATGAACAACAGAGGGCGCCCTGGATGTTGACCCTTCTTTACTCCTGTACGTGTACAGTTAGCCTACTCTGCACAGGTGGAATTATGATGACTGTTTTGCTTGGGCAGGAGTGAAAAATGTTCGCCCCTGAGGGTGCAGACCAGTAAATCGGTCCGAAATTGCCTACGCCGGCCAAATCACGATTTGCATGCCCTCAAAATCCTCAGTATTTGAGCATGCTGTGGGCCATGAACTTGAGGGTTTGTAAAAAATATGGGTGGAAGCCGTGCACAGGACTGGGAGCTTGCAGTTCTGTGTAATTTGGAAGTACTTTGGACCCTAAAAGCGCTCTATTTTGCAATGGAGGGTAGGCATCGTTTTTCAAAATGGATGGGCTTCAGGTCTATTTTCAGGGGTGATCATCTTCAGATGGAAATTTCTCCTAAAAGTCATCAGTTGACCCCCCGAAAATTGAAAAGAAAATGAAAGGTGATGAAATAAGCTTTAATTTGATGTGTGTCTCGAACACCTTGGAGAGTTATGAGAAATTTCCCCGAATTTCTCAAGTGGGAGCATTTACCATTGGGGTATATGATGGAAGGTTATTTACTGGTCTGCTACCCTAAGCCCCTTGTGAGCAGATATAGCGCCCTCAAGTATTTAATTGTGAATATTGTATTGGGGATGGAATTGTATGGGGGATGGAACTCCCAAAGAGCTAGAGGGAAAGGACGCTCGTGGGAGGAAGGGCACTCGATCGTTTTACCTTTTTTTCGCCCGGGGAAATACCCCCCCCCCCCCCCCCCTGCTGGCTACGCAGTTGCGAAAAGGACGTGTGGTGGGCCAACATTGCGGAGGAGTGATACAGTATTTGGTGCGGGGGTACGTCAACTAATAATTTCGGTCATTTTGAGTCTTATTAAAACAAGGCTTTTTTCCCCCTTCAGAGCCTTAGAGGTGCGGTTAGAGACACATGGCCATGATGTAAACGGCCGGCCCTCGACCTGGGAGGGATCCCGTAACACTTCCTAAAAGAGTCCCATGAAAGCATCCCTACCAGAAGTTTGAATTCAATTCATTTTGAATTGATGCCTATGATTCATTTCTTCCTTTCATAGTGGTGGTTACCTCTAGAAGCTAAACGGGAAAGAATTCGTTATCATGGCAGAAACTTTACAGGGCTCAACGTCACCGTTTTATTTATTCAGTCAGTGGGAAATTGAATCCGACATATTTGTTTTCCTCCACGGAGTGAAAGTGCATATCAGTTAACAAGCAACGGATCTTTTTTTAAGATCTGAACCTAAATTTGAACTATTATTACCCGCTCCTACCCCAGTGAATAAATATTTGCACGAGTTTGTGTACACTGTGGGTAAAGAGCCAACCTATATGGAGCTCTTCAAAAATGTGTGATATTTTGTATATTTGTCCATGTCTCGATCAATAAGAGCTCTGGAAACCCTATAGCTCGCTACATGTGCAACATACCTACGTCAAACCAGTAAGTTATACTCCACCGGATTTGTCTCCCGCTGAATAGACCCAAAGCTCGCTGAGATGCATTCCATTGTGCGAGGGGATGTCTGACACTCTCCCCTCAATCCCCGGGAGGATAAATATTGAGAGCATCCCGGGCCCAAGACAAAGGCATGCACGGTAGCCCGATACTGTGGTTATCAGATATGGGCTGAAACTGGACGACCCGGAGTTCCTTATTTCGGGCCCTTCGCCATTGTCCGGGACAGTGTCCCCGGCGATTCCCAAGCAAGGGATACTATCATGTATATCAAACCTAACGTCATACCGCCGCTCATAAAAGCCCCCCGCACATTGTCTCCGATGTCGTATTTTGTTTCCGGAAGATTTTTTGAAGCACAATACAAGTGGGTGTCTTAATTTTGTCTTGTATACATCCTGTGTATCCGAACATGTCCATGCATCTCCTATTGAGCTCTTGCACTATTAAATGTTTATTTCATATTCTGGGAGATCTCAGCACACGTTGGACTTCGCTAGAATTTTGTAAACTGTTACGAGCTCGCGAGGAAGAGCTTTCGTTTTGCCTAAAACACGACAAGGCTCATAAAAATGTTTCAACTTCAAGTCATTTCAAAATTAGACGTTGTTTTTAATCTGTAACCTTTGATGATTGCTTACGCACACAACTTACACAATATTGATTTTTCCCCTATTAATAATGTGGTAGAAATACAAGATCGTTTCGGTCTGGAAGGTTCAGGGGAAATTATCCAGAGTTCCATTGACGTCATCGCTTCAGTTCAAATGGACGCCATCACACACATAGACCCTATACATCTAGGTTAATTCCATACCATATACTACACAGTCTAACCGTATAGAGTATTATACCAGCGACAGTTTTATTGGCTCAATCTTCAGCCCAATACTAACTGTGTTAAGTACCGAGTTTATTTCCATTAGTCGAATATTAAACCTAGTTAGAGTGTATACTCGATGAGAGGTACGGCTTGGACGCTTTATAGTTCAAGGAGCCGCTTGCTCCTATCACCAGGACCATCATTTCATTACAATGTCAAAATAATTATGTGTACGTATATATTTTTCGTTATCGATTCGTTCACGACCACCATAAGCAGATGGTAAAAGCATATCAGTCAATACAACAAATACATTTTGCTTGATGACAACTTCAGCTTGACAATAATATGCGCCAGATTTGATGTCCACACGTGCCTTAGTGTAGATGTAATGCATATGAACGGGATTATTTAATGCTTTTTTTAAATTCTAATTCAATTCTTAAATTTTTAGACCACATTGGTTTGTGCATTTTGGAGGAGAGATAGGCCTTTGCAGGTGTTTGAACCCAATTTCTTTACTCTCGGATATATTATTGGAAAGACGATGGCGGTGCAGATAAGAGGGTGCTTGCAGGCAGTGGCATAACTACGGGGGGAGGCACGGGGGCACCGTACCCCCCCCCCCCCCGCGGAGGTCCGTGCCCCCCCCCCCCATTTAAAATTGATTTGCACAAAAACAGTATATCGGTTGCCTTCAGTGTCCCCCGGCCTTGAAAAAGTGGTGCACACCCAGCCCTAGAAGTTTAACCCAATTACGCGGCCGCTGCTTGCAGGAAAGTATATACCAAGTGTAAACCAAATCGTCCTGACCCTTTGTCCCTTTCGAAAGAATAAGTGCTCTCAACTAGCGTTCTTTGGCGCCGCCAATTACGTTAAAAGAAAAACAAAAATAAGATGTAGTCAAGACGTTCCATATTGATCAAGCAAAAAAAAACCATTTGCGAAGGGGTCTTCAGTTTATTTGTTCCAAAAACTGTTCATTAAGTTGAAACTCTGTCTGAAGTAACAGCCATCTGTGTCATCTCGTCAAGGCAAGACTCTTGAGCTTTGCGCTTGGGGGGGGGGTCGCATTGAATGATGACGAATTTGTAGGATTGGTAAGAGGCCTGCTGATAGGCCTATACACTAAAACATCCGACCGGGTCAGATTGACCCGGAATGACCCGGAAAACTGTCGTTTTTACCCGGAAAACTGTCGTTTTTACCCGGTTTTTGGAGTGTAATAACACTAGTTGTATAGTGCGATACTGATATTAACAATTTTTAGTTCGAGAACTACGAGAAGCAAGACCCATTTTTTTTACTTTGGTTACTTTGATTTTTGGTAACGAAGGCGGAATATACGGATTTACGACGTCGGAGTAGCACCTCGTGAACGAAGATAGGGACCATTGAAATGGTATGCGTACGTGATACGTATGCGGCTCGGAAAGAAGTTGCTTTTTTAATCACTTTTTTTTGCGTGGTTATTACATCTGGCACACTATATAGGCAATATGCATTTCACAATAATAAAGTTCAGCGGTATATGTGGGTTTAGTGAAATAATTAAACACACACAATGGCGATATTGCCAGCTATGTTCGAGCCATCTACGTATACCTTACGAGTACCATATCTAATGGTCCCTAATGAAAGGGCAGGCTATCTCAGTTGGTATAGAGTGACGGTATGTTACTCTGGGAGTCGCAGTTCCAATCCCACTCCGGCCAACTTCATTGTTCAGACTATTATATTGATTCAAAGTCAATCCAGTTAACCTCACTTTGTGGTTTAAATATTAC